AATGCATCATTATATACCGGGGAGGGGGGGGGGGGTTAGTTCCGTTGCTGACACCTGAACATGTTAATGATCACTCACCTTGTGGGGATGAGCTAGCACTGCCTACAAATTTACTGTTGCCATCGGCACCATCACTCCATTCCTCTGTATCAGCTAACTCATCAGTATATACTGTGAATGGATGCTGACCACTATCATGCAAGTCTGAACGAAATGAAGGGATGTCCATTTCTAAATCACTTAAACAGCTCAGATCAGAACTATCAGATGTACTATCTATAGTCACCACACTGTCGTTATATAGATGCACATCATCAACTTCACGATTTGTACTTTGATTACTGCTGTTATTGACTGGTAATACATCTTTCTTTGTTTTTGTATTTCCAACAGCGGTATTTGCAGATTCTGGTTGGACAGCTCTGAGGGATGTCTCTTCCGTTGCTCCATTCTCATTCTGTCTTTGACTAGGTTTGTTCGTAGGTTTGTTTTGTGCTTTATTTCTACCAGATGACGAGGATCTGAAGTGTCTGGGCCAATGAGTAATTTGATTTCTGACAAGTCCATTTTCAAACACAATACCGATGTCCTGGTTGTTTTTTCCTTTATGACTAATTACATTGGCAGGTGGTGTCTGTTGCTCTATAATGTCAATGGGATCGTTCTCAAAGATTAGGTCGTCATTTTCTTCTGTGGACCTGTCACAAAAAAAGTTAAAGGTTAAACCTATCCTGCAATAATTTTATGTAATAATCTTTATTGAACTACAGTGAAAACTACAAAAACCACCAGTCTGCTTTCGATCGCGGCGAGTATCCATGGCAGGGTCTACCATCGCCACCGCCTCGCCCTCCCAAGGAATAATTGTATTGGTTTTACACTAGACACTGTACGTTACTGACTACATGTACGTTGCTTGTTGTTTAACACTACTGTATCATTTCACAAACAGTATTTGCTCCGATGTTTTTCTCGATAGTTCGTTTGTTGTGAAACTGCTAAGATGTATACTGATCACGCTCAGGTCGAATAAAACGTGTTTTGTTTTGTATAATTGGATGTGTTCATTACGGTCACTGCCCGGTGTTGATAAATACGTGCCACAGGTTTCACAACAGATACTTGTTGCTACAATCTTATCGGCGCTGCCTTTGATAAGATTCCATTCATTGGTTCAGTAAAGCAACAAAATAAACAAGAAGTTGCGAGCGCCTCGCGTCAAACTGTCGAGCGGGGTCGATTTTCGCTGTAGTATTAGTGGGATTATGATTACATGGCAAAGACGAGAACAAGCACTATTAAATGAGAATTTGATGATTTTTGTTTGTAAGGCAGTTGGTTTTCTGAGTTTGATATTGTCTTCCTTTGTTTGAAAAAGTTATCAATGAATTTGTCTGCTTGGTTTATTATTTTTGTTTGTTTGTTTGTTGTTGGTAAGGTGATCAGTTTATTTTATGTGAGTATAACTGCACTCTGAAAATATTGAGACTCAAGTCCTATCCCTCCGTGCACATACTAATACATACTAGTGTTGATCGGTACATATTATATACAGGGACACAGACTAAATAAACTTGGCAGACCAGGCTTTTACCAACCCATATTCCAGCCGGGTAATCAATGGAATTGTGTATCCTTGTTGTGTACCACCAGCCCATCATAGTGGTTTTAGATACCTTTATGTGCTTCTCAAGTAGGAGTTTCATCTCAATAATTGCTAAAACAAACAGCCGTGATGACAACGTTTTAGTTTATCTTACTATAGTCCCTCAACTGTGACTGTGATCCTACAGATCTGTCTCTCTTTATGATACTAGAGTAGTTTTCACTGCTACAATATTTCATGAACAACTTTTTGAAAGTTGGTTTCTAGCTATATTTAAGAAGTTTAAAGTACCTTGTATTGACAGATTTGTTTGTTCTTGTTGGGAGTTGATATCTGTTCACATCATGGTTACTTTCTTCTGTACTGCTAGTTTCTGGAGTTGAACTACTACTAGTACTGCTACCACCACTAGCTCCCTCTGTACTGTCTCCACTACTACTACTACCATTATACAGGGCAGCAGCCTTTCCTAGTTGAAACAATGATATGACAGGTTAATTGCTGTCTGTAATGGAAAGCTGCATAAACAAATGAATTATTCATATTTGACTACAGAGGGCACACTACTAAGAAAGCGAATTGAAGAGAAAAGATTATTTGCATTTAACGAGAGGGAACACTACTCAGGAAGCAAATTGAAAACAAATGATTATTTGTATTTAACCATAGGGGGCACACTCTTCAGAAAGCCAACGGAAGACAAAGGCTTATTTGTATTTAACCATCGAGGGCACACTATTCTGGAAGCAAATGGAAGACAAAGGCTTATTTGTATTTAACCATAGAGGGCACACTAATCTGAAAGCCAATTAAAAAATATTTGTATTTGGATCATTTCAAGTCATTTCAAAAAACCAATCAAACATTGGGTACACATGACTGCATAACATGATAGATCATTTGATCAAATTGGTTAGCACAGACATTACATTAAGGTAGTACTTTTTGCTTGTATAAATACAGTAAAATTAACAATTAACTACCAAGATTACTAACCAGAGTCTTCTCCCACCACACCATACTGCATAATAGTATCTGACAAGGTCAAGTCTAACTGACAAAACAGATCATCTTCAACAGTGGCTTGCACACTGTAGCTATTGGCATCATCTGTTAGTTTCCTTACTTTCTCCTGATGAAATATATACATTCACAAGTATTGATTCAGAAGTATTACAATCCAAGAATGGTAACTTATGGTTTGAACTCCACATGTATGTATGTCTGACCATCTGTCCATCACTACATGCATGCATGTGTCTGGCAGGCACCATATTTTAAT